CTTCAACTTACCTGAGGTCTAACTTACCGTTCTGGAGTTAGATTAGTACAGTTCGCGGCGCGAAGCGCCGCGCACACCTTCAATTAACATGTGGAACAACTTACTCCCAGCGGCCGCGGTAAGCGAATTCGACTACAATTTTTCCCTTTGCACTTGCCTATAAAAATTTCCTTCTCTGCCTATCCTATTTCCCCACCCTCCAAAACCCTATAGCCGCCATTTTTGCAAGAAAAATGCTGGGACTAGGTGTATAGGAGTGGGCCTACATAAGCTACTTTTGCCATTCCATCAACCAAAGCAGCCGCTTTCGTTTACTTCTAATCACCCGAGTTGATGTTAGTGTTATTTGGTATTTGAGGAAAGTGGGAGGTTCCGCGTTTCTGGGCAGAACCTCTTTTGACCATCAGAAAAATGCGATGAAGTCAGAAGCAGAAAACAGGCAAAATAGAGTTAATTGTTCATTTAGTGTGTGTGTGGTTGAATGTGCAAAATAAGTATGTGAAGGTTTCTAACAAGTTTTAAATTCGACAGCTGATTGGGTAGACCTTGGTCCCTGAAAATTCGTCGTCGCCCGTTGCTCTTGAGTCAAATTTCTTCGAACAGCCAGAAGACGAGGGTGTTCCAGGAGGATTGGCTGAGTTGTGCGTTCGATGGGTCTCCAGTTCATACAGCATAACGAAGCCCAATACCACGCCAATCGCCTATGTGGTCGAAAAAAAATCAGCTTGATTTGAATCTGCTCTGAAAATGGTCATGTTTATTTGATGGCATATTGGGAGTTACATTCGAATTATCGGACAGGAAAGCGGAAAACGACTTCCCAGTATGGCTTCTATGCTTTTGAATTTCGCATCCAAACTGAATTCACCTCCTCAGTCATTAAGTAGCAGGCATTTAAGTATGTAACACAATAATAGAATGGTAAATGAATGACAAAAAAGCCTTAATGTACATGTCGCTTTTGCATAAGGCCTCACACTATTTATTTCGGAAATTGATGTAGAACAGGACTGAATTAGGCAAGTAAGAGGAACGATGGACAGGTGTGCACTGCGACTAAAATGCCTTTAGATCTTTCTCAATGATTTACAAAGATCAACCGTTTGGCTTTAGACGTGCTAGACGTCTTCTGAACTGAAGGCTAACACAACTGTAGTTGATATGGATAAATAATGTTTAATTTTCCCATTAGAGTAGCTGATTATTCCAAAAAATGACTTCTCAGTTAAATAAAGCTTGTTAGTTGCTGGATAATACGAAGAACACCAGTTAGATCCAAGTTGCTCTCAAGCCCACGGACAATAACCCGGTTTGTCCTGTCCTAGTCGCGAAATAGATATCAATAAGTCTTGACGAAGGCTTCCATGATGAGGGAGAGTTGCCTTGCAGCTTCAATCATTTCGTACAAGTTCAAGGTCGGGCAACGGATACGAATTCGCATAATTACACGAAAGACTCTAGTCAGCTCACGTAATTATGCCTACGTGTACTCATCTTCAAGGTGACCTGCTTACTATTTGGAATTCCCCAATGGCCCTAGTCGATCTAACGGAGATTAGAAAATAATCGCCAACTGTTTGCGTCCTGGCGAT